TTCCATCTACTCTGCAGGCTCAGCACACCCAGCTACTATCTACAAGAAGCTCCAGACCAGCAGGATTTTCAATCAATAGGACCTGAACAACGTTTACCCATAGATGGGGGCAAGGAAGAAACGAGCTGAGCAACAACTCGCCAAGATAAACTCACCAATAGATAAAAATAATATTCATTATAAATATATCTCTTCATAAAAGGGCAAGAATTGTAAGTACATCTGATCCCCACTCACCCCAAGATGCTTTGACCTAATTATATGACAATAAAACGAAATATTCTCACACAGGGAAGGAAAGGTGGGGGATGCTGAGAGGCAGAAACACAGCAATAAAACAAAACCTGCGGATGTCCAATCAGAGAAAGGGTAAGTTACATGGGTAAGTCACGAGTCGTGGGAAGCCCTGGGCAGTGAGGACAGCTCTGGTTTCCTCCAATGCCACACATGCCTCGTGCTCTTGCGCCTGAGCTGATCCCAGCTTTACAGAACTAACTGCAAGCCCACTGAACCAAGGACACGGGCGTTAGCAGCAGCTTGCTATGAAATCAAAGCACCAACAAACCTGCTGTGAAATCACAGCCTCCAACAAGGGAGAGAACAGCGCTGGGCTTGGGGAAAGCGTATACATTTCTATGTCAAGAAGTAGGCAGAAGACCACCAAAGCTACTCAACACTGCCCACAAAGTACTGCTGTGTTCAGAGAGCAAGCCAGGCATGGCAGAAAGTTAAAAAAACAAAACAAAACAAACAAAAAAAACACCCAAAAAACCAACACCAAGATGAAGGTGACTGGAGACGGCTGAGTGCAGAACTGGATCATCATGGAGAACGGAGAGAGTAGCCACCAGAGGAAAGAAAACAAGATGAGCCAAAAAAACGGGTAAAAGGCACAGGTAAAGGGCGGGGGCAGGGAAGCAATCAAGGCATGGTAAGTGTGAGGGAATTATTTAATGGTGATCAAATTGCAACACATTACAACAGTACAGGCAGCATTAGCATAGATCTAGTCACCCACTTCTACACGAGAGCAAGGAGGCAATGGCCACAGGAGTCCCTCCCAAAGCCTCTGATCGCTGTTACTCATGCAGGGCTTGGTCTCCACACATCCAGAAAGCTTAACAGCAGGGGTTTTTTTTCCTGCTTTTAACCTTCCATCAGGTGCCCTCAACACAATTCTTGTCCCTGTGCATTCACTGTAGGAAGCAGTTTCTGCCAAACCCCTAAACAACTAAGACTGCCAACTTTATTCATGGACTTGCTTTAAGTCTACACAAAGAAGCCAAGGAATGCAAGGAAAAAAAAAAAATAGAGGGGGATGAAACTCATTTCTAGCAATCTGCAGGAGACAGAGGTAGGTTTTCCTAACGCTGAAGGGATGAGAGCAAAACTGCTCCAAGGTTATCTAAAGAGGACAGCCTTCCTTGCTGTCCACCACAGGGCTTTTATTCTTGCAGGAGACAGCTTCCAAGCTCTGCCTGGGCAAGCAGGCATGCCTGGAGCCCAAGCCCAGGGGCTCCTCCATCTCAAGTGGAAGTGCTAAGCATGTTCAGAGACAGTTTGTTGTGTTATTGTAGTTCTTTAGAGCAAGGTGACACATGACTAAGTTTTCACTGCTTTGAGCAGTAGTTTTCTCCAGCACCTGACATGCCCAGGCCTTCTGCCACGCTCTCCCCAGCAAGAGCTGCTCAGAGCACAAGGAAATCTGTCTTTCACTGGGGAAAGCACTTCCCATTTTCTTTCTTTTAGGCTTCTGACCTACCGTACATCAGAACTGGGAACAAGAACGGCTCTAGAACTGTTTTGCTGCTGTGAATGGCAAGATGACCAAGACTGTCAGAAAACAGCCAGGCATTTCTGTCAGCACCTGCAGCTACCAAAAGCAAGGGAAGTCACAGCCTTCAGTTGCAAGGGACAGGTTCTAATTTGCTTTACTGAGCACACGAGGGACACAAGATCATACCCAGCTTAGTCCCACTGGCTTTTCTACAATATTCAATGTGTGCAGACTGAACAGAAAAGTCTGTAGACACATCAGGATGCAACTTACTTGAAAGCATGGGTAGGAAAAATTGATCTCAATGCAAAAAAAAAAACAAAAAACAACCAACAAAAGAAAAAATATCACTCCTGCATTGCTAAAAGGCTCTTAAAGAAACACAGCAGCACATACTACCAAAGGACAAGCTAGATGTTTCAAGCACAGCAGTCAGGTCTCCAGTACTGCCCAGAATCAGCTCCATCCCAGTCTGTAGGTCCATGGATGTTGGACTCTGAGCCACGCTAATGTTTAACCAACAGGCAGCTCCTGCACACTGACGAGTGGCTACTCAGTATTGAGTTGGAAGACTCTTGAAACATACTGGATTATGTTCTCTCATATGCAGCACAGCATACGTGCACCAACAGCTGCTGAAAATTCAAGTTACAGGCAATACCCACTACAGTAGGTGTATGTACCGTCAGAAGACACCAGCTGCTCAAGAGGCAGCGGTCATGGAACATTTACATGCAGTACGGCTCACTGAACTCAGAGTTATTTGTCCTCTGGTTCACCCTGTTGCAGTGGATGGATGCTGACGAACACAAGTAACATACCCAGGCACAGCATTTCAGCTTTACAGCATTGCCAGAGCTGGAAGAATCTAAGTACCACAGTTGTTTTTTTCTTTTTTTTTCTTTTTTTTTTTTTTTAATAAAACACATTTGCTTAGCACTTGACAGGAAAAAAGGGAAATTGCACATAAAATCTACATCCACAGGAGTCCCAGTGCAAAGAAAGCCATGCAAAGTGAAGTAGTTAACTTAAAATACTAAATCAAGGAAAAGGAAAAAGAGAGAAAACCTGGATAGGGACTGAACATGCTCATGACATGACAAGCCCAGTTCCTAGAAAGGCAACGACCAGAGCACCCGGCTTCTTGTGCTGTTTTACATTAGAACATACACAAAAGTGTACGCAGTTTCAAAAGATTAAGTTTCTAGTCCAAAAAAGGCTAAGCTAGATCAGATTTTAAATTAAACACTAGAAAAAAGGCTCCTTCATCTAGTTCACAGTACAGCTCTCAACAACAGTCAGCCCACTCAAGGGACAGCGTGTGTAGTCCCTGCTTAAGGATCACCAGCTTTTTTTTTTTACCATATCACTTTTGTCACACCATCAGCAAGGAAGTCTGGAACATTCAGGACTCTACTTTTTCAACTCAGGTATGGCTCAATGACTTTCCTGTCACCTAACATGTGATTTCTGCCCCATCAGAAAGGGAATCCATCACCCTCAAATTCCACACTTATTACTGCTCCTCTCCTCTCTCCTGTACAGGCTTCCGATCCCTTCCAGTAATTCCCCATGCCAAAACCCAGCCAAATCTCCCAGAAAAATCATTCTTGGGTGGCTTACTTGTAAAGCAGTAAAGAGGAACTCCCAAAAAGGAGAGTGCTGCAAGGTTTGCAATCACTCCAACCCACCCTCCCTGTGTTTCTCAGAAAGTGAATACATGGTGACCACCCCACTGCAAAAACACAGGAGGACAACTCTACCATGGCTGATGGATGTTCTCCCCCTTGGTCACGGAGGGTCTAGCAGGAGCCTTAGCCCACACGTTAGAACAGCTCAGTAAAAGGTAAGGCCAGACGTGGTTAAAGGCAACACTAAACCAAGATACACCAGCAGCCACCAACTCAGTCTAGTTTTGACAACGCAACAACTTTTGATCCAGGACCACACTTCAGTGATGGGCCACTTACTGCTTTCTCAACCAGCAGAGACCAGCACCTTGTGGCAAAACCTCAGAGTGTCAAGAGTTGAAGATGACCCAAAGGGCCAGTTCACAGCACTCCACACTGTTTCTCCCCCTCACCAGCAGCCGTCACCCCTACATTGTTGCTCACCCAGGAAACACAGGCCCACGCTCCGTTTCTTTTCCAGTGAAGCTCTGCTCCGCTGCTTTAGAGCTGCTTTGTCCCCACACAGCAGCATCTCATCACTAGGGCAGCAGTCTTCTTGCCTGCTGGAGATGCACACATAGCCTGGCTTTACCTAAAACTTGCTGCAAGAGGACTCCAAGAAGCACTGCTAACATTCACATCCAGCGGTGCGTACACGAGGACATTGAGAGATGAGACAAGTGGAACAGATTTAGACCAAAAGCAGTGGACATTTATTCCTCATTTGTGCAAGAGTGTAAAGATGCATTTGAAAATGGATGGGACAAATCCCTGTGGCTGGAGAGCTGGAGGCTACAGCCTCTCCTTCATAGTCAATGGCTTTGTTTACAATTCTACTAAGAGGAGATAAACTTGCAGACTCACCTATTTCACACCAACGATGCTGGCAAATACACTTGTATACAAAGAAAAGTTTCAAACTACATTTTCCACTAGATTCAAGTGAAGACTTTGTTAAAAAAAAGACATACAAGTACAATTTAAAACTGTACGAACATTTGCAAATGTTTAGTGCAAAGTAATCATGTAAAAGCTACATTTTATGAAAGTTTGTGCTGATGTGTTTGGTAGGGTTTTTTTTTTCCCTTTTGTTACCCTTTTACATCCATTATTTTAGGTACATAAGGTTTCACTTACCTACAGTACATATGCATTGTGTTAGGTCCCATGCAAGTGGGAGTAATACCATCAAGCTTTGTAAAATGTCACTCAGATTCTGATTTAGTAAACTGCTTATTTGGTTTAACAGTCAAGTTCCTGGCACACTACACATCCTGATTTCATGTAAGTGCTTAAGCTTATGTTTGTCTTGTTCAGGTGCACAGCCTTGTGTGATGCAAACCAAACTGCTTCACGACTTCCAAATGCAACCATTTGTGAGTGCAAACATAGTTTTAGAGAAATCCACCATTAGTTTTAGAGAAATCCACCATTAGTTTTAGAGAAATCCACCATTAGTTTTAGAGAAATCCACCATTAGTTTTAGAGAAATCCACCATTAGTTTTAGCCTGTAACAAACTGCTCTTCAAATTAAAAGCCTATTCACACAAAGTTATATGTAATGACTGTAGTAATCAGTTTATTACACAGATTAATCATTCTTGAACATACAAGCTCCAGGGGAGCAGCTGGGTCTTTAAATATACACAAGTTTTCTGTCAAATGGATTTTTACCCTTACATCCAGAAAGACCTAAGCAGTTAAAAAACTTAAGTAAAATAAGAGCTATTAGCTATGTATTAACTGAGAAACCACATACAAACCAAAAAAAGTATGAAGGAGGGGAGAGAGTTGAAACAAATCAACATCACTTGATGCACTAATAGCTCCAATCCATTTAAATGTTGACCGGTTAAACTTAGACCTTAAACACAGGATGTGGGTACAGTTTATCTCATTGGTCATAACATTTACCTAAGGTGTAGGTCCTTCAGAATAAAATGAATACAGAAACAGCTTCAAGTTCTTCACCTTGCTTTTCATAACTTATGAGTTTAAAAGGATTCCACTTAAAGTCCTTCACGGATCAGCAACACTGTCCCTAAAAATATGAAATCCACCATAACTCGCCCATTCACATTTTATTACCCAATTTAAATCAACAAGGAATGCTTTTAGGCTCACAAAGTTATGACTGAAGAACCAGCTTTTCACACACACACTTCTCTGCTAGGAGTCAATGTTGGTACGGGGAAATACAGTATTTCTATTTTGTTGTTCCAAGTATGTACAACACGCAGCACTGCTGTATCAGGTAAACATGTGCACAGGGGAAGATGAGGCGTGGGCTCATAGAAAGCAGTCAAATGGAAATCAAAAGGACTTTCTCTTTCAGAGTTCCCCTATCTTTATTTGTAGAGGTTATCCAATAATTTCTTTAATTACATCGCATACTTCTGAGTCCATTCCCGAGCTATTCTGTTGTACCTGTATGTATAAAAAGAGGATTTACTTAACACAGCAGGTGAACAGTATTTCAACTCCAGCACCCCAGTCTACACACGGCAGGAACTTACATTCTCTCATGTATTATCACGAATTTGTAAAATTTAAGAGAAAACTGAAATATCAGGCAAACAGGGGAAACAAGAAAGCTCACAGTACTTCACTGAAGAGAAATAACTAGTCGTGTTTACAACAGGAATACAAGATCTTCGTGATTCAAGCCACGAACCAGAGCTAGCACAGGTCTGCAGGGAAAGTATTGTGAGGAAGCCTTTACCTGTGCTTCCCTCAACCGCTGCATCCCTGGGGAAACTATTACTGCAGGTTTTAATTTTGGCATTCTGAAAAAAATAGGTTAGTGTTTCCCTCCCACCCCGTTCTTCTTTCTTTAGGAAGTTAAGCCTAGTACCTGGTATCTACTAGGCTGCCAAACCCAAACAGGCTTGTTTCATGCCACACACCACATTTGGCTATTTCGATGACTATCAGGACACAGCTATTGGTCAACTAGAGTTTTGAGGTTTTTTTACTCTGAAGGCACAATATGCTCCATATCCCAAGCTACCTGTAGCTTCTGCACCCCAATACCCTTTATAGCCAGAGCCACTGCTAGAGGAAACTCAGGATACTTATGTAAAAGAAAGCAGTTACTGGGATTAGCAGTATTGACAAAAGCTCTTTCTGACATCAGAGGGCAAGTTGTTCTTGTTCTACAGAATTTGTAGCAAAAGCATTAAGACACTTACAGCAAGATTTTTCTTAGTTATGTGCATCAACTAGGTTCTTGTGCTGCAATTTAGTCTGTGGACAGTGTTCTTTAGCTTAAAGAACCTGACAATCCACTCATGAAGGCAAGAGCATTTGTTACTTCACTGTTCTGAGACTATTCACAAAGCAAGTCCAAGTTATGTTTAAGCACAAAATTTATTTCCCTATTTTTTGGAAAAAATAGGAAGAATCCTGCATACATTAAGTGCAGTCAGTCACTGTTAGCTGCGTCTCAAAATACGTACTGCTACTCTTGCAGCTCATTAAAAACAGGATGCATGAATTTCTCTAACACTGCTTCTCAAAAAAGTTAAGACTACTGATCAGATCTCGAAGGGAACAGTTAGGTAGAAAAGTGTTTACAATGGTCATTAAGCTGTTGCTTGTAAAGATAGCAATTTGAATCTTCTCATTAGTGCTAGAGTTCTCACCATTCTTGATGCTGACTTCATAGAAACTTGGAGCCCTTCCACCCCACCTCTGTGCCACTTGTTCTTCCCTTGTGTCGTCAAATGAAGATGAAACGGGGTATTTTTGCTATTTCTTTGCTTGTATGACTCCATCACCAATAGCTAGCATAGAAACATTCTCCCAATAGAGTAACCTGTTCTCCCTCTGCTGGTTATGTAGATTTAAAGCAGGCAGCAAAGGCTCTTAAGAGCTGGTCACATCCAACCTCAGAGCTCCGTATGAAACGGATTTGCATTATTCATATTTTAATTAAATAATGAAAACCTGTAATTAACAGCTACAACACTAATGAAAGACCATTGTGTGGAATGAAAATGCAGTAACAAACCCACAGAAGTACAAGGCCTCTACAGCCTTCACTTCTACTGCCATATGTACCTTTTTCCTACAAGGCAGCGCTGTTAAAATAGCTCTATGCCAGATCCCAGGAAAAAAAATCTCTAAGGAGACCACAGTTAAAGTGAAAACAGGCAAATCAAAGTTCAGTCTTCCAAGAAGCAGGTTCTTTCAGTTCCCCTTTACTATTTAAGTGTGGATTCTGCTGTCAAGAATGTTACATGGTTTTAGCCTTCCATACTCACTTTTCTCTATCTGTTTTGTAGATCCGTGCAATCTCAGGCACTAAAGGATCATCTGGATTGGGATCACACAACAGAGAACAGATGGACAAAAGTACTAGGGAGAGAAAAAGAGATACTGAATTAGAGTTCAAGTGCAGCTAAAAACACCTGTAGAAATTAGCCCACCCACTTTCTTCCCCTTTAGTTTTTAAAATGTCCTGGAGCAGAAATACTGTACTTCAGCCAAGTTACTTGGAGCAGAATTCCTTACCATTTAATTATGCAACTCTGCATGACCACAGGTTCCTAAGTATCACCACCACAACTGGGAACCTCCTGGAACAGGTATATCTGGTAACAGCCTTAAATCACAAGGCAGAAGTGTTCTATCTGAAACCATCCCTGAAAGCCTTCTCAGAAAGCATGCCTACTTTTGCACTTGAAAATCAGTTTTCCCTGAACCAGACAGTGTCATGGTTAATTACTTGCAGAAGCACTAATCAACAGTCAAATGGCAGATAGATCCAACCGAGATGAAGGAAGCATGAGCTGCTCACAGCTACTTAAGAACTATTTTTAAAAAAATGCTAGTCTTGCAGAGAATTAAGAGGCTTTATCCAATTATTTTCTGAGCATAAGGAAGGCTGAGATGAATTAATTGTAGGATAATATTCAAAATGAATCAAGAAAGCATACCTTACTGCACTCATACCAACCACAAAGCCCTGAACTTTAAAGTTTCACTACAAATATATATACCGTATGTATCCCAGAAGCCACATCTCACTCATAAGATGCTGCTCAGTGTAGCATCAACCTTCATCCGTACAAGGAGTCAGGAAACTGCCTGCAAAGCTACAAACAAGTACGTGCATGTTCCTACTTTCACACCAAAGTAAAAGAGATGAGAAGGCAGTTATAGTATCATAGAATCATCAAATGTTGCGAGTTGGAAGGGACCCACAAGGATCATGGAGTCCAACTCCTGTCCCTGCACAGGACAATCCCAACATTCACACCATGTGTCTGAGGGCCTTGGCCAAATGCTTCTGGAATCTTGTCAGGCTTGGTGCCATGAGCATCTCCCTGGGGAGCCTGTTCCAGTGCTCCACCACCCTCTGCCTGAAGAACCTTTTCCTCATGGCCAACCTCACCCTCCCCTGGTACATCTTCCTTTCATTTCCTCTAGCCATTAAGTTATAACCGAAGCATATTGGGACGACACTGCATGAAGCACGGCAGGGACGTCCTGCCCCCGCCCCAAGATGTGCCAAACGTTCCTTCGTATGGCTTTCTCTCAGCCTGTTTTAATCAAACAGTGCCACTCCATATGTCCCTTCAGCAAAAGCAGCAGCGTTGTCACAGTGCATCCTCTGAGCAAGTTGGAAATGACAGCAGTTGGAAGTTTGAAGGCACTAAACACAAATCTGTTCAAACTTCCATTGGTTGCTATTGTGCTGTGGAGCAGGAGGCAAACCTACCATCCTGAAAGACATCAGCTGAAAAGTGAAAGGAGAACAGCATGCATCCTGCTACTCTGGTTCAGGGCCAGGAGGATGAGTGTGTGTGTTTGGTTTTGATGGGGTTTTTTTTAAGATAGTTTAAAACAGAGATCACAACACTAAGAACAGCCCATACAGCCAGACAGAAACTGGAAAATAGGTCTGATATTCATAGAATCATTTAGGCTGGAAAAGATCTTTAAGATGATAGAGTCCAAGAGTAAACCCAACACTGTCAAGTCCACCTCTAAACCACATCTGTAAGCATATCTACACAACTCTTCAATCCCTCCAGGGATGGGGACTCCACCACTGCCCTGGGCAACCCCTTCCAATGCCTCAGAACCCTTTCTGCAAAGAAATTCTTCCTCACATCCAATCTCAACTGCCCTTGGTACAACTTGAGGCCATTTCCTCTTGTCCTGTCACTTGTTCCTTGGTTGAACAGACCCACCCCCACCTCTCTGCACCCTCCTTTCAGGGAGTTGGAGAGAGCCAGAAGGTCTCCCCTCAGCCTCCTTTTCTCCAGGATCAACAACCCCAGTTCCCTCACCCGTGCCCAGCACCGGGGGCGATCACTGGCCTAGTCCTCACACTATTGCTGATACAAGTCAGGATGCTGTTGGCCTTCTTGGCCAATATTCACATGAACTGGCAAAGACTGTTTTCAAAGCAGGACAAAAATGAAAGTTTTGCTAGGTCTTTAATTGAGCTACTTGACCAGTGACAAGAACAAGAAACCAAATTAGTTCAGTTTTTCAGTGAATTATCAATTTCAAGTTAAAAGCTTCTAGAACAAGTTTAGTAACAAACTCCTCCTGATTTAAGTGAATGTATTGCTTTTTCTAGAATAAAGAACAACCTCTTCTGTCTTTTCCTGTTTTTCTACTGTACATTTGTGAAAGAGTAAAGAACCTATTCTCCCTCATCAACTGACATTTGAATCATTTATTTAACTACCCCTGAGAATACAGTTTCAGAGTGTGGAGATTTTAATTTTTGTGCTGGATGCACATGGAAGCCACTAGTCCTGAACTGCTGTCCCTCTCAGCAAGGGACACAGCACAATTAGCACCTGTAGCACTTTCCATCAGCTTCAGCATTGTTTTTTTCTCCTGCCACATACACTGAGTAAAACTCACATTAGTGTTCAGTAATAGGAATCTCTCTGCCACCTTACACCCAGCTGCTGCCAGTCAGGTTAGCTTCAAACACAGTTGTTTCTCCAGCCATTTTTCTGTAGCTCAATTATTTGTGTTTGTCAGACTCCACTGCTCTGGTCACTGAAGTTTCTTCAGCTGGTAGGATGAGTAAAACAGCCAACATCTGTCCCCTCCCTTTAACAAAAGCCACAGGAAATCCAATCAAAGTTTTCTGGTTAATTATTGTAAATACTCCCTCAAGTTTTATCTTACCACAGTCCTTTAATAACCAAGAACTTTTCTCTGAACAAGATGGCTCAACCTTCATCAGCAGAACCAAGTTGCAAGTCTGTCCATTCCTCTCTGCCTGCCTTCCCCAACCACCATAACACCCCTTTGCCCAACACTCATGGTACTCTCATCATGGTGGGAGCTCCTCCTTGCACACCTCACATCAACATAGCAAACCTCCCCGCCCCCCACCTGCTCTAAGCACCAGACCAAAGGCAGTGTTCAGCTGCTGGTCAGCACAGGCACCAGGATAACCAGGGTGTTGCTTTGTGTCCTGCTGAGCAACACCAGTGCGACGGGCTGCCACAGCCCACAAGTCATTTTTGTCGATGTGATCCCACACCACATCCTTATCTCTAAATTGGAGAGATATGGATTTGAAGGCTGGACTATTGGATGAATAAAGAATTGGTTGGATGGTTGCAGCCAGAGGGTTGTGGTGAATGGCTCTATATGCCGGTGGAGGCTGGTGATGAGTGGTGTCCCCCAGGAGTCAGTCTTGGGACCCATGCTCTTTGATATCTTTATCAGTGACCTGGATAGTGGGATTGAGCGCACCCTCAGCAAGCTTGCTGCTGACACCAAGCCAAGTGATGCAGTTTCAGTGGAGGCTGGTGATGAGTGGTGTCCCCCAGGAGTCAGTCTTGGGACCCATGCTCTTTGATATCTTTATCAGTGACCTGGATAGTGGGATTGAGCGCACCCTCAGCAAGCTTGCTGCTGACACCAAGCCAAGTGATGCAGTTTCAGTGGAAGGAATGCCATCCAGAGGGACCTGGACAGGCTTGAAATGGGGGCACATGAGAACCTCAAGAGGTTCAACAAGGCCAAGTGCAAGGTTGTGCACTTGGGTTGGGGCAATCCCAGGTACATATACAGACTGGGAGAAGAGCTCACTGAGAGCAGCCCTGCCAAGAAGGGCTTGGGAGTCCTGGGGACAAGAAGCTCGACATGAGTCAGCAGCATGCAACTGCAACCTGGAAGGCCAACTGGATTCTGGGCTGCATCAGAAGAGGGGTGGCCAGCAGGGCGAGGGAGGGGACTGTCCCCCTCTACTCTGCCCTTGTGAGGCCCCATCTGCATTATTGCATCCAGGTCTGGAGCCCCCAACACTAGAAAGGTGTGGAGCTGTTGGAGCAGGTCCAGAGGAGAGCCAGGAAGAAGATCTGAGGGCTGGAGCACCTCTCTTCTGGGGAGACCTCATTGTGGCATTCCAGTACCTGAAGGGAGCTTAGACGCAGGAGAGAGAGTGACTTTTGCCATGGGCAGATAGCGATAAGGACAAGGGGAAATGGTTTTAAACTAAGAAAGGAGATATTTAAGTTATTGGATTGGATATTGGGAGGAAGTTTTTCACCCAGAGGGTGGTGAGGCACTGGCACAGGTTGCCCAGAGAAGCTGTGGATGCCCCATCCCTGGAGGCATTCAAGGCCAGGTTGGATGGGGCCCTGGGCAGCCTGATCTAGTGGTTGGCAACCCTGTCCACAGCAGGGGGGCTGGAAATGGATGAGCTTTAAGGTCCTTTCCAACCCAAACCAGTCTGTGGTTGTATGAAGATGCAAGTCTGCCTTGAACAGCACCTCCTTTGCTGAAAGGGAAGGCAGAGTTAACCCCGGTCCCAGCCTAGAAGTTCTAGTTCTTGGTTTACAGGCTAGCATCATCAGTGTATCATTACTACTTGCTATCCATTAAAAAAAAAAAAAAAAAAAAAAAAAAAAAAAGGTCCCTTGTCACTAATACTCTTTACTAAAATGGTCTGTGGCTTGTTAGAACTCAATCAGTAGCTAAATGCTTCCCATGATGAATTCTGGCAATCTAGTCCCTTCAAAAAACATTTCTAGACTTCATTCTTCAGCAGTTCACTTGTTTTACAAGAAGTATTACTCCAAAAACCTTGAATAAAAATGGACACAATTATCTGGCCTCAAGCTGCACTGCCATTCAGCTGCTTTGTTTTACTTTTGAAAGCCTTCATTAATCAAAACTATTCTCCAGTACATTTGCTCTTGCTGGTAACTTCACATCTATTTCTTTTTATCTGTATAGCCTCAGCAAGAAAATAATTCTCAACTGAGTTATGTAAACTGGTTTAATTTTAACAACGTGCTGAACCCAGCTGTTTGTTCAAAATAAATTCAGGAAGTTTTTCATGAGGTTTTCCATCA